AGCTACTTAGCGCTGTCAGCAAGATTCAAGATTGCTCAGAAGCAATTCGCGTCATCGACACTTCTCATCATCTTCATCGTTGTTAACGATTTCAGGACATGCCCTTCATTACCTATGGGGGGAGTGGAATTTCACACCTCACCATTATCTATTCTAAACATAATGGCATATTTCTCCGGCATAAAGTTGCACGAAGGGTCATTCCTTAGCGCACTGCAACGTTTGCCTAAACGCCTGAAGAAACAAGAACCTACTTCTAACAAACCGTGCCATCGATGTTAAAAATAGTCATTTCTGTTGTACAATTGACGTTATGTGCATATCTCATTATCTTGCTAAAAACGAAGCTAAAGCCTGTCGACCAACGTCATAACAATAAATATTCAAATTCGTATTTCGTAATTAATCTTTCTGCGATGAAACATTCTCGCCCCCTCTCACTCGTCAGATATACACAGGTGTTTTTAACCAGCACAAACTAAAATGAATTCATCAAAGAAGTAGAGATAATAAACAGACGGCTGAACGTTACATTTTGACTTCTTACGACCCAGATTTTCGTTATCCACAGTTCCAGGAGCCCATCGTACATGTTGTGAACACTGTGGCTTTCGCAATATCAAACGAATATTCGGCTGAGTTGGAGTGATCACCTTAAAAGAATTACGTACAAATTTACTAGAAAAAGCCAGTGAACTCTGCCTTTTGAACTAGTACGTTTTGAAATTAAATAATTACTGAAAATACCTGTTTCACATTCTCTGTAACCCTCTGCAAAATTCTAACCTTGGCATCAAAGCCACGGTGAGCGCGCAACCACAGTAACAAAATCCCACAATAGGCCAGTGTACGAAGCTGCGCATGATCCAAGCAAATTTATCACAGCAGCAGATTTAGCTACTAATACCAAAGGCATGAATTCTTAAACGGTCAGCTAACGAAATAATGATGAGCGAGTTCAGAAACGGTCTCTTCAAATTGGTTGCAGAAGTGTTTTACTGCAAATCCATACCCTGTTTGCAAAACTGTTGCGACGAAACACAACTTCGGTCAATATACAACCTTACGTTTCTTCCTCTCAAGTTAAGCCATGCATTCGAAAGCTTTATTAGCGATAACAAAATGGTTTCGTACCTGCGTTTCGGTAACCATCACATTAGAAGAATGAGGTCTGCAAATTTCCATGCTTATTTCTGCCTTCAAAACAGCGTCGTTACGACCTGTAGCCTGAAAACAGTCTAGAGCAAATGAAGTACTGTTATTAGTTTAAAATGCAGCGCAATATCATTCGAACGCTCGTTAAAAAGCCAACTTCAATGCATACCTTAACCCGAACAATCAAGCATATTAAGTTCTTTCTAACTTCAAGATTAACTTCAAAGGGATCAGAAAACCTAGATTGGACAGATACTCCTCTAAAGAAATTTGGCTCAATGACTGAGTCACTGCCTGTCTATATCCGTAAAGAAAGCATGATCAGATAAGGTAGCAGTGTACCTAAGACAATCAAATTTGTTTAAAATGAACACTACTCAGACATGCGAGCCACATATGGTTGCGAAGTGTAGCGCCAAGTAGCGCTTCATGTCATTTACTCCTTACCAGAGAAAAACGTTTGCGAAAGAAAATGAAGGCACAAAAAGGCCTCCGTAATAAAATCATTACAATAGAAAGCAATGAACGTATGGAAAATTCAAGACTTTTAATGAGTTAACCAAACCATACATAAGCTTTGCATGCGTAGGCAGTCATATCCATAATAACTTTCAAACAATTGGTAACAACCACGCAAAGTAAAACGTTTTCTGTCACCTAGAGAGATCCGATGACTGCGTATCTTTTCGGGTCGACGAGGCAATAGCGTCAGAGGGTCTTTGCAACGTTTAGATTCAGCATCAGAGTCGGAGATTGAGCAGATTTTAAGCTGGATCTGGAAGCATGAAAGATGTATACGAAAGTACCACAAGATCTTCCACAATCAATCAATAACTGTGGTAGTTCCTAGTTCAATTTCAAATCTCCAAGACGATTCCGTTAAATCCACAGCGACATAGTAAAGTCAGTCTTAATTATTAACAACGAGAGGAAGAAAATAGGGCAAAATTCTAGTGACAGATAAATTTTTACTTCATAAGCTGACCAAACCCTAACGTGCTTTGAATTAGCTCACAATAATGGGCTATTCTGAACAAAATCCGTAGTCACAACATTTTGTCATTATCTCCCTTAGCGGTAACAAAACGACAGTTGTGCGTGCAAAGAATAATCATTCAGCAAGACAGCCGATTACGTGGTTATTCAGTATTAAGTTCGAAAGCTTGACGGGAATAAATCCGTTGCTCCCAACTGAGACCACGCTTGCGGCAGGGCTACCAAACTTTAACGTTAGCATTCAGTTTCGTAGTCATACACGTAAAGATGAGCAATGCTATTTTATTATTAAACGACGGTAA